GAAATAAAGTACAATTAATTAGCGATTCTTAGTAGAACTATATTTAAATCCAACTTTCGGGGTATGATATATCCAGTATGTAAAAATTTCTAAAATAAAACTTTATTAAATTGCTTCTCAGATATAAATAGCTGGGGGGGGCAAGGGCAACATAAGTAACCTAAACATCTGTACCCCCATAATGTGCTGAAATAATAAAAAAAAAAGATATAAATAGCTATTATTGAGAGAGAAGACAAGTGAGTAGAATGGAACAGATATTTGTGGTAGGTTTGCTGGAAGTTCTGTATATATCTTTCCGTTCATTCTTATTCTTTTCCTGTATTTCTTCCACAGCCTTGGACACAAGATGGGGAGATTTTATGGCAGAAAAGGATAATTAGCAACAGGCTTAAGAACTCTGCAATTCAGTTAGGTAGGGTAGGTAGTCTGTTTGGTGTCTGGACTGGAAGACTGATAGCCAGCTTGGCAGTCCAAGTGTATTCTTGCCTATTGTTTCCAAAAGGGCATTTCAAACCACTTTGGAAAGTAACACAGATGTGTTAGAAATGTCATCAGCATAAGGAAAAAAGGAGGTACATAACCTTAAATCAATTATAATTTTATGTAATTTTATGTATGTATATGTATATTCTGATGTATCCTCAGAATTTTTGTAATTTAAGAAAAATTTGCTAATTGGCTAATTACTGATGAAGAAATAGAAAAAAGAAAAGGAAAAAGTCTTTTGAATAGATGCATTGCTTTGTCTTAGGTAGTTTTATCCATATTTTCAAATTTTCAAGAAAAGTATCACTGGGGCTTATTTGCCTTTTCTTAGCTTTTTAAAAATGCCTTTGCTGAGGGGACTGCTAACCGTTGTGGTTTCTCCCAACATCCTCTCCCCGTTCCTCCCTCTTTTCCCTTAGTATCTTTTTGCTACGTACATTGCTCCTTCGGCCACTCTTGACATTGGACTCCAACAGGAAAAGAAAAAAGAAATTTATTTGAACATACACCCACCATTTGAAGACCTTTTTGATACAGCAGAAGAATATATCCTTCTCCTCCTTCTTGAGCCCTGGACAAAGATGGTAAAATCAGACCAAGTTGCTTATAGAAAGGTATTGTGTTTTGATGTAAATGATTCAAAGTAAAAAAAAAAAAAAAAAAAAGAAAGGAAAGACAGATATTCTGGCACTCATAAATTGTATATGAATCATTCAGGTTTACTATAAAACTGACGATAGGCAGAGTTATTAACTCACCAGAGAAGAACTGAAAAAAGATCTCACAGGGGCCAAGGATTTAGAGTTAAGATTTAGGCAGCCTCGAAATTTGGGCAGGGAAAGTGTTTATTAACTTTATTATTTTGCCAATTTTCCTGTTGTCTCCTAACAAAAACCTTAAATCTATATCATTTTTCGTTCTCTGTACAAATATGTCAGAAGAGAGAAATCTGAGTTTTGGTTTCCTGTGAACGAATAAAATATGCCATGATAATATACTGGCTTTGTCCTTTCTTGCCATTTCTCGGCAGTAGCCTTAATTTTGATTAATAGAAAAAGCCCATATCACGTTGTGCTGGATGAATTACAATAAATATTACACCCATGGAAAATATAAATGTTTCATATATGTTGTGAAAAGCAGACCCTCTGACTTCAGTCCTTTTATTTTAAAGCACCCCCAGATGTTCATCCGGTCAGACTGCTTGATTGGATAAAAGTTTCAACACATCTTTTTTCATTCTGAAAGAAGTCATTTTGGGCCTCAGTGCTTGAATATTTTCACCATTCTTGTTGATGGGTAGAGGAAATTTCCTTAAATACTTATTTCCAATCACAAAATGAAACTATCCATGGATATTTTTTACATTAAGTTAATGCATGTACCCTGTACATGAGGTCATTTCAGGCAGAACTCTGCTATCTTTGTATTGCTATTCTTTGTTAGTATCTCCTCAGCAACTTCTTAGATTGTCATGTCTTCTACCAGGAAGGATACATTAGGTGATTAAGATAAAATTAATACCAAAACACCTTGGTGGGAGTTACCTTATTGGATTGTGACTGAAACAACTCTTATGGCTTACTAAATTCAAAGACCAAAATAATTAAATTTTCATTCCTGATTTTTCTTTGTCCCAAAAATTAGCGTAGCATCCTTTTTACTATAAAAATACATGTATTACACTAGGAAAATTAAGACATCATTTGAAATTTTTAAAACTTCTCTCCAGTCATTGTTTTAAACATAGCATATGACATACAGGAAATGGTCCTTCGATAGTTAAAAAAAATTTTGGATTATAACTAACTTCCCTAAACCAAAAAGTTTTGACCTTAGTAATGATTCTTATAAAATACATAGGACATGGGATTTTTTTTTTTTTTTTGAGACAGTGTCTTGCTCCGTCACCCAGGCTGAGTGCCATGGTGTCAGCCTAGCTCCCAGAAACCTCAAACTCCTGGGCTTAAGCGATCCTCCTGCCTCATCCTCCCGAGTAGCTGGTACTGCAGGCACGCACCACGACATCCCACTAATTTTTTCTATTTTTAGACGGAGTCTCACTTTTGCTCAGGCTGGTCTCTAACTCCTGAGCTCGAGTGATCCTCCTGCCTTGCCCTCCCAGAGTACAAGGATTACAGACGTGAGCCACTGCGACCAGCTAGGACATGTTTTTAATAAGAGGAGAAATAAATCTCTCTTTCTTTAGTTCTAGAAACTTGTTAATTTCAGCCCAAAGTACTCCTCTAAAAGCCCAGCTGACTATATTATGTAGACTTTTCCCCCAAAAAAATAACCAGGCAGACTACCAAAGCTAGCTATTAAATACAGAAAGTTATCAGGCAGCTAGTCAGCCAAACTGGTTGTTCCCTGCGATAAATAGAGAATGGTCTTGTCCTCCCGATTATGTAAAATAGTGCATTACACACTGTGAAGAGTCAGACCTGCTGTGAGGTTTAATTTGATGATTGACTGTCTTCTCTCTTACTACAGCTATAAAGCCTTGGCTCACAGACTAGTAACACTACAGAGTCTGGTCATTTCTTGTTCTGTGAATTATTTGGTCCTTAAAGATTGCAGTATCTGCCTTTATAAGTATTATCCTATTGTATTGAATAGCAACTGGGAATGTGACCAACATGTCTGCATTGTTTGTAAGTTTACATGGTGTGTTTAGATAGGAGGAGTGATCTTTGGTGGCACTGTATCATTACATAGAAATGTATGCATTTTTTATCACATACACATGAAGTGTGACCTTGCTATAGCTAATATTTTTTTTTTTTTTTTTTTTTGAGACAGTCTCACTCTTTTGCCCGGGCTAGAGTGAGTGCCGTGGCATCAGCCTAGCTCACAGCAACCTCACACTCCTGGGCTCAAGC